TTCAGCTGATAAATAACATGAGCGTTAGTTTTAATCCACTCTGTTCCTCTTAACTACATAGTGTTCATTAGAGCAAAATATGCCAGGAACTATCAACCTAACAACTAACATGAGTGTGGAAGGTGTATTTATATACTTTTCCCATGTATGTACAAACTATAGAAGAGGACCAAGAGAGAAATACACAGAGAGGGAGGGAAGAGTAGAGAGAACATGCGACATAATAATGAAAAAAAGGAAATTAAAGCCAAATATTTCTGTCAAGACTGACAACTCTAGAAAAGGAAAAGAAAATTTATTTTTCCTCTTTACCATATTCGTCAATCGGAGCATCATAATCATAGCTGGTTGTAATGAAGGGACCTCCAGCTGTACGCCCGAAATTAGTTCCTCCATGGTACTTTAGTGAGTAAGCAAAGGAAAGAAAATTTCAGTTAAAGTATTCTTTGGGAAGACTTAGAATCATCATGATGAAAAGACAATTTTGTGATATGAGTATATTGATCTAACCATGTAATAATTGATAAATGAGCCACCCTTCTGTATAAAGCGTGCCACAGCGAATGCGAGGTCTTCAACTGGTCGGTGATGGATAGTGCCTCCAAATTCTGTAAACCTATAGTCGCAACAACGAGAGAAGAAAATTCTTGCAATTAGATCCTAAGGTTACATGTTTTAAAATAAAATATAACTTAATAAATATAACTGTATTTTCTCAAGTTATAATATAATTAAGTACAGATATTCTTTGACACCTGTGTACCATTGATGTCTGAACACCTAAATATTGTCACTAGACCACGATGCAAAGTTCTAATGTAACATGCACAAAAAATAAAACCTCAGCTGAAAACTATAACTGCAGAGCAACTTACCAGCCACTCCAAGCTTCAGTCCACATTGTAGGCTTATATGGCTTGTTAGGAGTAAAAGAATCACAGTAGAAGCCATTGCATGCATTAATCTGTTTCCAAGAGTAAATAAAGTGTCTTCTCAGGAAAAATATTGAGAACATATGCTATCAATAATACAAATATGTTTTAACAGAAATGGTCATGCAAAGAAAAAACAATCATGTTGACTTGCATCAGTTTAGAAAGCTCTTATTCTTTTTACATTTGAGAGCAGTGATTAACAATGCTAGATGAAAAGAGTAATACTAATCAATTTCTGTAGTAGAAATGTATATTTTCCTTAAAAGAAAATTATGAAAACATAAGGAAGTTCAAATTTAATCACAATTGCAGAAACTTAGTATATTAGATAAGACAACATGAAATTGCTTCTAAACTCAAAGACTTAATTAGTACTCAGAGCTGGAGCGAACGTGTAGGTCTAATTTTACAAAAAAGTGGCACTATTAAAGTCCATCAATGCTCGGTATAGGCAAAGTATAGAAGCCTAAATCTTGTTTCATTGACAGTATATATCTTAATTTTTAAAGTAAAACCACATGTAGTATATATCAAGTAGAAATGTAGCAAAGTAAATTAGAATCAAAACATTAAAAATATAAAATATACCATCCAAGTCAGAAGAAAAATAAAATATGTTTGCTATTAATATATGCAACAAACGACACAGCACCTGCACCTCACTACCATCACACAAACAAGAAGAAAAAGATAAAGAAAAAAGAGAGAAATGAGTGTATAACAAAAATGATTCTCCTACCACTGGATCAGGAGCATCATCCTCCTTGCACATAACCCATGGTACACCAGTTTTCAATCCGACAGCCATTTCCGCAGCCCAGTTCACATATGAATGACCAGCAGAACCAAATGCCTTACTTTCAGGCCCATACTCATTCTCAATCTGGATCCATTGATCCAAAGATCAGCAAATGGAAACAAAAGAATCAGTTCAACATTCTATTTATCGTAGTCTCGCAATAAAAAAAAGGCATATCGAGCATAACTTGACATTAGGCTATCACAACATGAATACGCAAATAAGAGCACCTATAATCCATTTGGTTAACAACAAGAACATGCCTGTGAAAGGATGATTGGACCACCCTGTGAACCAAAAAGTGATTCACTCTTCATCATTTGAACAATCTTTTGGGTGAAACCTTGCATGGCCATCTGCAATAGAATACATTTTTTGTAAACTACGAAATGGAAACCATTTAAGGCATACCCTCTATAAGATTTAGTGAATCGAAAGTGCGTAAACTCTACGGAAGGAAATTGTAAACCTTCTGTTCCTTGCATCAACACAAGGAAAAGCAATAAGAGGTTAAGGAATGGACCTTGAAAGGCTCATTGTCAGTTCTGAAGCTGATTCCCGGCACATATTTCAACCAAACTGGAAATCCTCTAAAAAAACAGAGAAAGCGAAAAACGAGGAAGAAGTAAGAAAAAAACACAAATCATTTACACGAAATGTCTAAGAACGAATGTTAGAGAAGATGGAGACATATACCCAAAATTCCATTCGGCACAGACATAAGGACCAATTCGAAGGTGGACATACAGGCCCACCTTCTGCACTGTCTTAATAAACCTCACCAAATCATACCTTCCCTCAAAATTGTACTGCTCAAAAACCCAGAAACACGTAGTGAGTCCTACTGCAAATCATAGCACAACAAAGGAATTAAAATTGAAGAAATGTGCAGAGAAGGGCCAGTGAAATACAGTGCCAGGTGAAGGCTCATGTCCATTCCAGAAGACATAGGTTTGTATGACATCCAGACCACCATCCTTAGCTTTCTGAATAAGTCCTTCCCACATCTAACACACCAAACCAACAAATGGAAATCCACATCACAATGCCAACAGGAAATCTAAAAGAAAGATCTGATATACTATTTATTTAGAGATATATACTTCTGGGGTACTCCTGGGGTAGTGAATGGAGCCAGAGATGAGGATCCTCCTCTGCCCATCGATGATGATGGCCTTCCTGTCATAGGTGACACCGCTGTATGCCACGGGAAGAAGGAAAAGCAGCAGCAGCAGTGAGCTCTGGACTACCATTCTCCACTCTCTCAAATCTCACACTATTCTCCCACCACTCCCACTCCCACTCCCACTCTATTTTCTCCCTTGCAGAGGGGAGGAGGAATGTAACAGGCGGAGGAAGACAGGGGATGAGTCCAAGGGAGGGTTGAATGGCTGTGGGATGCTCCTCTTAAACTGCCAAAGGATCCATGTGCAGCGTTTGGATACACCATGCAGTGAGCTCGGAAGCGATCAGAGGGACTCAGAACGATGGCTACTATTATACTGAGAAGCACAGGTGTGTGGCACGTCTCCTTTACCTCCTCACACACAACCGCCAAAAGTGCAGCTCTACCATGCCGACGCCTTTTCCCATGACGCATACATTACTACTCCCCTTCTTTACCTCCATGCACGGTGAAGGTTGGGGTTGACGGTACAAGTGGCGTTGGTTTTTGTCATGGCTCTTGCAACGACTCCTGTGATCACTGACCGACATTCTTGAATGACTATTACCTCTGGAATTGTGGAGGAAGAGGAAGCTGTGATCTTGACTCAGTAAAATCCTGCGGTAAATTAGTGACCCTCTTACATAGGAAGTGATCTATGCCTCGAACGCATGGCAACGTTTTGGTTCCCGAGAACATGAGAGGGAACAAAATAAATGTCCGTCTTCAATTGTTTTGACAGCAGAAAAATTGCCCAAAAAATAGAAGTAATTTCTAATTATTTAGAAATTCTCACAAAAGTGATTTCTAATTAGATTTTTCTTGGGAGTTTTTTACTCTTTTACAGTCCATGTTAGAAGGTTCCCAAAACAAAACAAATCTCTCCGGTCACCCCGTGACTAACGAACGAGCGCAAACGAAAGCGACAACAGATGGATACTCTTTAGATTTGATCGCCCCAAGAAAGAGATATAAGATGAGTTTTGGAATCCTAAGCTAAGGTTTTTTATTTCTTTGTTGCTTTGGCGAATTAAAATCTGACGATGTTTTTTGCGAATTGGATTGCAACCCAAGCAAGAACAACTCGATCTGATGTTTTTTTTTCTTGGAAACTGCTGTTCTTTAGATCCAAGAAACACGCGTGCAGATCCTTAAAATATTTTATATATATATATAGTAACCATTAATATTTAAGACTGATACGTCAGCAAGCAAGGGAGGATGCGTTGGCATTGATTGACGTACGAACCTCACGGGTCGCCCGCTGTGGACCCGATGCTCGCTATGAGAGACAGCACGCGCCCTACCAGATATCGTTTCCTCGTCGGTGGGTTCGTTGGGATTAGATGAGCCGGACCTTGGCCCCAGTAGACTGCTGAGGGGCCCACGCGTCAGTGACACGTGTATGTGGATCGCGTACGCCGTTGCTCATCTCGATACAATACTTTCGGTGGTACGCCCACCGACGCCGTAATTGCCGCTGAGGCCAGACGAAAAGCGTCCCGGCATCCCCGGCGAAGATGGCTTTGGTAATGACTTTAGCTCTGTTGGGCGCTACGGTGGATGACGGTTGTGCTTTTGGGATAGCGAATGCCGTGCTGCGCGGCGCAGATGGGGGATGAGGACGCGCGAGAACCTCTATTCTTGGAGCGGAACGGACTGCTATTGCCCGACCGGTGTTCGACGCTTTGTCGTAGTTTCTGCTAGTATACTGGTAAAAAGAATCGACACCGGACTCTCAAACGACGCTGGAATCGACGCAGTTGCAACTCAACTGGCCAATAACAAAGGGAGCACACCGAAGCCCCTTTTTCTCTTCCTTTGGTGGTGTTGATCGAAGTGGCGCAGTGACGACATTGATCGGTGATGGGTCAAAAGTAACAAAAAGAGTCAGGACGTGATGTTAGATCCCTTCCTCTCTGCTTCTTTTTCTCTCTTTATGAGCCGTAAACTCAGGTTGGTGATGGCGTCAAAGTGGAAAGACTCGATAAGCACGGCAGCGGCAAAAATATGGGAACAAGAAGATGGATGATAAAAAGATAAAGATAATGATATAAAAATGACAGTAATAATGATAATGATTCACGTCATCAAAAAATTATTTTTGGAGGAAAGATTCCATCAGCAGCAAGCTTCACAAACAGTCGTTCACACAGTTTTAAGGCTTTGCTTTAGAATCTACTATAATAAATTCTTATTGCATTGACAGGGGAACATCAATCTACTGACACTGAAAGAACTAATAAGCAAAAGGCAGGAGGAAACAACTGCAGAAGATAATTTACAGCGTGTGAGATATGAATCCAATATCACCGTGGTCTTCCAGTTTTCTTACTCTTCAACAGCCTCTCATGGAAATGTTGGTATCATTGTTGCAACCCATCTTTGGCTCTCACCAGTAGGCCATCTCCAATGCTTCGGTTTAGCTCGAAAAACAATTCCTCCCAAACACAAACTGAATATAGTAGAATAAGGTTTTGATGCGCCAGTTCTTGAGCAGGTGCATGCTTTGGTTGATTCAGCAATACAGTCTGCGAGCAAGATCAGAGTGTTGTGTATCAGTAGATGAAGAGAAATGTGGAAGTCAATAAATAATGCATGTAGGATATGGTAATCTTGCCTGTTCAGTAGGCCTTAGTGACTGCAGCTGTTGTGGTCAGACCACCAGCATCGATGCCGTTATTTTGATCTGTAATTCCATTCAGATCTGAATCCACATGCATTTTTTGATGCAACGAAGCTAAATTATGCAGCAAAAACAAGGGGTAAAATGAGTTATACTCACCAGTTTGGGAATCGAAGACAAAGAAGCATGCTCCAATTGCCAGGTAACAGAGCAGAGGAACAAGTCCCTTCAGGTAGTGTGAAGTTCCATCCTGTAGATTGCCATGACATCATAAACATTACTGTGCCAGAGAACAAATCATTCTTGACTGCAATGAATGTAGAGTTGCATATCTGAGGCAGATTCATTCAACATGACTATATATACCTGTAAAGTGAAGGCTATGACTAGTATTGCCATGATGAGTGAGCTCGTTTCTAACAGTTTAAGATCAAGATCCATCTTGATTCCCATTATCCAGGCCACGATTACACTCAGTGGAACCTAAAACATGTCGAACAACCTTGTTAGAGAATCATACTTACACCATGGACAGGAGGAGGTTTGCTGCGCCATGCAAGGCTACTTCAAATCCTTACCACGAACATGGAGATCTGGGTTGCTGAACCAAGGGAAACACCAAGAGTGATATCCTGCGACATCTCAACATTCACACACATCAGCTTCATTCAATTGGTGAAATCATGCGGAGGTACAGTATGAGGTTAGCAGCACTTGCCAGCTTGTTCTTGAATGCGAAAATGATGGCACCTGCATGCTCTGCTGCGTTGCCAACTATCGGAAGCAAGATGATGCTGATAAAGCTCACCGATATACCCCATGAATCTGAAGCAGCCTGAGGAATTGAGAGACAACATGATCACCATGGCACTTGAATGAGAAACCTTAAGAGAAGACTAGAATCCAGAAACTCGTTGGATCATCTTAAGCTTCGTGTTTCTCCTAGTTGAGCATAATGGCTTCTTGAGTGATAGTTGAGGGATCAAAATGCATACCTCAATGGTGCCAACAACGTACTCGGATAGCAATGCGATCACCGCTGTCATCCCTACCAGCCATAACAATGCGCTTGCAAATCCGATGACTGGCTCATCTTCAGATACCACATCATCATCGTCATCGCCATCCTCCTGCTCGTATGAACTTGCAGAGGTAAGTCATATGACTTGCGTGAGAGGAAGTGAGTTTTCTATGTGCTCGATGCCTCACCTCTTGTGACTCGAAGAGTTGGCGATGGGTCTTCAGCTGGAAGAAGAGGTAAGCAACGTAGGCGAGGAGCATTATCATGCTGCATGCTCTCGACAACGCCAGCGTCGGAGCTGCGTCCACTGCCTGCTCCCCGGTGTTCACGGCGTATCTGAACATCAACAGCAGGATGTGGCAAAGCGCGCCCAGCAGCAGAAGACCAGTGTTCACATCAGCTTGCTTCTGCAAAATGCATGGGCATGTGGTGAGAAGGATGAAAGGTAGTGTTGGAAAATACATGGCATAGAACGAAGGGTTTCGTCTTCACGGCTCACTCGATCATAGAGTTGCTCTTTGTGTAGGTTGGCGAGACCGCCGAGGAAGAGGGAGGAGCCGAGGACAAGCAATAGATTGGACAGGACGGATCCAACTAAAGAACACTTGACCACGTCAATCTTCCCTTGATGCAACGCGAATAGAGCTATGATAAGCTCGGTGGCGTTCCCACATGTTGCGTTCAATAGTCCACCCACTGTATCAGCAACACCAGTTACAGTTATGACAGACCCAGGAGCAATTCAAAACCTTGCTACCACGCATAAGAAATGGCAAGCAGCTTCATGCAGAGGAACAACAAAGAGAAACATGTACGTACCAGTAGGACCAGTGTAGAATGCGATTTGTCTGTGATTCCAGAGCCAATCGACAAGAACAAGAAAACAAGAAAAGAATGTTATTTGAAGTCATGAATACCGATTAAAGAGACAGAAACAAGAAGAAAAGCAAAATGATATGTTGTTCAACTTGATCCATCTTAGTTATTACATATACAAGTCTTCATCATAGTTCTTCGAAATCTTAAGCTTAGTCACGTGTGGAGCATATAATTCAATAGTTTAGGTTAATAGTTCATGCTCAACACTGATACGTTTTGATGCAGCATTTCATTTGTTCCGTCTTCCACAGATCAGCCGAATGAATGCATAGCTACACAAGCTGTGTGCATAGCAGTTTTCATTGAGACAACATTATCGGCATCTGATGCCCACAGCAGAATGAATTGTTCGCTAAAGTATGCTCTTCCAAAAGTTAAAGTTTTCTTCCACTTAGTATTGGGTTGCATCAGAAATGAACTTACTCTGTGAGGAAGCTGACACGCTCAGCGAGAGGAGTGAGACCGAGCAAGCTTAATGCAAACAGCCACGCCTGTTACGAAAAGCGAAATGAGCTACGTTAACAGTTGCCATTTCAGTTCTCTCGTTCGTGCGATGATCAGTTGACAAAGCTAATTAACAGTATGCAGATGAGAAGAAAGAGAGCAATTACGCGTCCAAAGTGGTAGTAGTTGGCGACGATTGCGAGTGGGACGGCGGGGAACAGGACGAAGAGCTTCGTCCCGAGGAAGATCTCCTGCAGATTGGCGAGGAGGGCCCTCAGAGGGCTGCACCGGACCTTGGACACCAACGACAGGTCAGACTTCTTGCGCAGCGACGACGACGACATGTTGTGGGCGGTTCGGCCGTGCCCGTGGTGCACCTCCTTGCCCAGCCCCCCACCCCCGCCTTTGAGGTTGCCAACCTCCATGATCCTCGCAGCCTCGTAGCACCTCGATGCCATGCTCGATGTATCAGCTACCGCTGCAACTTCTTCGTCCCTAACAGTACTCCGTACTCGACGCCGCACACCCTACTCCTCACTGCTACTTCTCCGAAGCTCCTTATATACAACCCGTACGGATGGGAATGGCAGAACTCATCGAAAACCTTGGCAAACTAATCATTCTCAACGTAACAAAATGCTCAGCTTCCTGGAAGCTTCGCGGGTTGTCGTTACCGGCAACAATCTAAGGCTACAATTATATGTAATCAGACAAAACGCAGAACCCGTGGTCGTGGTGTGGAGTGGCTTACCACAAGTAATATGCTTCTGCTATTTGTGTTGTTGCCTCTATCATCGGATTACTTGGGTAGGGAAGGACAGAGACACCGCCTCACATGGCTCCACTGTCGACACCCGCTTGGAGTAAATGTAGGCCTTCGATCATTGCAGGTACAGTAATCACGATTTAGTAGTTTATGGCGAGAAGTGAAACAAATCCACCATTGCGTGTGATGTTAGAGGAACATATGCTTATTAGATTTTATATTAATGTAGATTGAAATCCCACACAAGCTTCTGCACACCAGCAATCATGCGATGCATCATTCGAGGCTGTCATAAGCCGATTCAGCAGGCCACATGGACACCATGTGAGAGTAGCTATAAGCTGAGGAGGACGAGTGAGACACTCATCGACCGGATAGTGAAGGAGAGAAGCTTCCCTGAAGCTTCCTCCACAAACATACAAAAAGCCGGTTTTAATCCTTTCTGAGAAAAGGAAGGAACAACAAGAGGAGGAGACGATGAGAGCAAGATTTATACGCATCTCAAACTCCATATTTCCCTCCTCGAGCCCGCTGTATATATCAGGAAAAGGACGGCTGCTACAAACAAGCCGCTACACTACAGTCTGTCTTTGCTGATAGCGATGGTGGAAGGTTGGAGGAAGTTTCCTGAGCCTCCCCAACGCCTCATCTGCCTCAGAGCCAGAATGCGGCGAGGGCACTTCAAGTACCGGAGGACGTACGTGAGGTCGCTGCCATGCACGCATGTGGACGAGAGCTCACTACGGACTTACCATTCGCCACAGAGCAGAGACGAGGTTGAAGTAATAGCACTGGAACAGCTTGCGGTCCAATGCTGCTTGAAACTCATCAAGAGATGGGATTCATGCTTACTGCAAGCAACGCAATAGGATCCATCTGCGTGCATTAGGGAGAACAGAGGCATTCCCTGTCGTCTCATGAGATTTCAAGAACAAATCTTACGACGAAGAAGCTGATCGCAGCAGCCACTTCAATAACACGGGAAATCTCAGCTTTTGTTGTCAGTGTTTTGTTACTCATACAAAAAGGCTCCACCATGGCAACTCGATTCCAGATGTACAGTGTACTTTCAATCTGATCTGACTTGAAATCACGTATAAATGTTCGTATTCCAGTTGGTTTGACAATGGTTCGAATAGGAACATTGGAATCTAAATCGAGTTTGAATTTTTTAACCAGTTAGTCGGGATCAGGTTTGGCGTTTGACGTTTGACTTTGGGAGGAGGGTAGCAGTACTACTACGGTTGTACTGAGTTGCTGTCATGTATACTTGTCGTCCTCGTACAAGTCAACCCACCTTTGATCAATGGTGGTATCTTCTTCCTCGTCCGGCTTCATACTACCATGCCGTCAGGGGACGAAATGGACCGAGCTGGCCCGGCCCATTACACCTTCAACTAGGCCTTCCTTCCATGTATCTGAGGCCCAACTTGCTCTCGTCAACCTACTTGTGATGTCTGAAGAAAATGGAGGGAAATGGTGAATCGGTCAGCATTGATACCTTTATTATCTAACTTAGATGCGTACCATAAACAACTTTAAACAAATTCCTTTACAATTGTGGTAGTGAATTTTGTTGATCCATCAAAACTTTGATGCAGTTTTAGTGAGAAAGTTCTCTACAAGATCTACAAAACAAATGAATCGAATACGCTTTCTACAATACAATTGAGTACACATATATATACACACACAGGACCAAGGGATTGGCTTCTTCATCTACCATTGCCAGGTTTGTGTGGTTGCTGCTGAAGCACCTTAAGCACAGACGCTTCCTGAGTTGTTGGACATTTTAGGATCCATGGCGAAGCAAATCTGAACATTTCAGGAATTCTTGGTGACAGATTTACTTGCTCCAAAGCTCGGAATTGAAGTTCCGAAGGGTAGTCCCGCACACACCCGATTCGAGGCCCTGCACCTGTTGTCCACTTGAAAGAGAGCTGTTTCCCCAGCTGATACGATCGAATGGCTTTCTTTGTATTCATCCTTCGGAGTATCGATTCCGATGGCACGAAGGCTTCTTCATCCTCTTCTTGCTCCTCGAGAAAGAGATTGCTTTTCCGGAACATGTAGTGTTTCTTCGAATTATCTGAACTAGTACTGTTTTCGTGAACCTCATCTTCGCTCTCTTCATTGTCTTCGGCAATTATTTGCTTGCGGAATTTGTGGTGGAGCTGCATGTCAATTGATGATTCTGATTTGTCTTCTCCTCCTAATTTCAAATCAGCAAGAGAACAACCGAGGTTCACTTCTTTAAATGCCTCGAATGAAGAGGTGCCTGAGGCCATATCGGTCGTTGTTCCCCTGGAAAGACGAGATAAATCTACTCGGTGTTCAGTTTCCATGGAGACATTTCTTTCAGCCAAGTTCAGTTCGGAGTGGCTGTTTTTGAGACTACTGCAGGGTTCATCGTCCTCTTCGGTAGGACTTCTCTGTATAAAACAGACAGAGAGTTCAGCCTTGTACTTTCATTCATCTGGCTCAAAATTATAAGTTTATGCTAGTCACAATTGCGCTTTATGTACACTAATTATATGGAATATGATCGGTATTACTAATGTCAGAGTCAAAGATCAGACAAGTGGCTTTGCTCACCTTAACATCAGTGAGATCGACACTATTTTCCTCGAGAAAGCTCATGAGTTCCTGGAAGTTCTCTTCTGTTGGGCGATAGTGCCCGCTGTGAGGCCACACAGCCTGAAAGATCACCAAGGAATAAGTGAACCGAGTTGAATATAATTTCCAGGAAATTCATATCACTCTTCTCGGTATTATTCTGTTTACCTTTAGAACTCCATCTTCTACAACTAATCGGCCAGCAGCAGAAGTAGCTCCTCCGGCAAGAAAACTAGAGTGCTGAAATTTGCCTTTTCTCTTCTGCAATTTTCAGAGCATGATATTAGTCAATCCACATGGAACAACGATATGATTTTGTGGTTCTTACAGGATACAAAAAAGTAGAAAAAAAATCACCTGACCAACATATAATTTCTTTGACGTGCTTAACACAAAAATCCACTTAGCATCTTTTTGGCCATTGGATGTGTCCAGAAGTTGCCTGCTCTGCCTGTACATGAATTTTCCGTCCTCCACTATGACTTCATATGCTTCCCTCTCTTTCTGGAAATCAAGACAACATGCGTTCATATACATACAAGTTGTATGATACAACTAATCTTGTTCTGTAGAACTGCTGAGGTGCTTACCGGGCCAAGATACTTGATGCACTGTTGTTGAAGTTTTGAACGAGTGCATCGTTCTTCGAGGTTGACCTCCTTTCCTTCTCCGACATCAAGCCTGATGATCCAAGTGGTGCTATAAGGCAAATGTTCTGATGTCTATTTCTGAGTTTTATCTATTAGAAATGACTAAAAAGATTGAGCTGAACAAGCTAACCAGTAGAAGAAGGGTTGCATGCTATCGCATTGAAGCCAACGATCATAGTAGAATTGAAGATTGTGACCATAACGATGCCGAGGATCAATCTGTGCATTTATTAAAACAGCATAAAAAGGCAAAATATGTCAGTAACAGGGAAAATTTGCAGAGAAAAGAAGAAACTTGTGTGGACAGTGAGACTCACAGCCTCCAGCCAATGCTGCAAAGCAAGTTTCTGAGCGTTCTCATCCTTTGATAAGCCCTTTCCAACCTATGAAGCAAGAATTGGAAGCTTAATGTTGAACACTCAGAAATGTTCCTTCTATGCCACGAATCATCGACGGTAATCGTTAAAGGAATAGATACCTTTGCAGCCCTGATCGTCGCCCTGGACCACCGTGACATTGCTGATTCTGGTTTCTCAATGTCGAAGAAAGACACAGAGCTTTGCTTGAGCAGTGCAAAATCCAACAACTTCCACCTAAATTACACACAATCGCACATGTTAGTCGTCTGCAATATAATCAAAGGTAAGTGCTATCCTCGAAGGACAAACAAACCAGTGGAGGGTATACCAGTGCTGCTCGACAAGTACGGCACAGTCTGCAAGCTGTCGTCTTGTCCGAAAGCTTTTGTACACCTTCTGTAACTTTACGGCAGCTTCATGCTTCGGGTTGTCAGGCCTAATCGAGGTTGATTCTCGGGACCTCTTCACCAAAGAAGTAAACTTCAAACCTTCAAGATCATCAGACTTTGTGGAGTTATCCGGCTCAAGGGCAGGACTCTTTGTCGAGATTTTTGGTTCCAAGTGGAAAGATCCTTTTATCAGTGACTTAGCTAGGCCAAAAGCCTCGAGGATGGCAGGCAAACAGTAGTCTCGGCCATTGAAACCGATGGACTGCAGAGTCGATCTCACATTGTCACCTAAACCGATAGATCTATTAAGGACAGCTTCCAAGCTATCATTTATAGAATCATAGGCAGCTCCTGGGCATGAAATTGCGATGCCCATGTTAACCTCAGATCGAAGAGCTTCTATATCACGAGAATCTTCGAAACGAACAGAGTTGCCGATGCAGCAATGAGATGTAGATCTCAGCCTGCAGGAAAGGAATCAAGGAGTTAAAACCAGCAGGCTTTGCTGCCAAACAATGAACCACAGATTGCTTGCACACAAAGGCATTATGAAATGATCCAAATATCGCCTAAATCTTCGGGACAAATGATCCGACTAGCTCATTCAGAATGGAATGCATTTCCCCCTTGAAATGACCAAATGGGTTCCTACTATGAATCCCAAAGCACCAAGGAGTGAGAATGACTCGAACAAATGTGCATTCCATCCATCTCAAAACATGCTAACATCAACAACAAGAGAAGAAGGATCAGAACAGTCGAAGGAAATAAGCCTCACCTGAGCCTCCTCTGCCTGCAGGATCACCCAACAGGTTACAACGGACCGAGAGAGTGGATGAGAGAGAGGAAGAGAAAGAACAAGATGGTTTCTTTGGGTTGTTCCAAAAATAAGGTACTCTCAGAGAGTGATTTCCTCCTCTGTTTATTTTGCTTTGGGAGCTGAGCCTGATCGGAGATGGGATTTAAATAGGGAGAGGGAGAGGAGGAGGTGAAGGTGGAGCAGTCCTTGATTTCCAGCCACGTGTTCCTACGGAGCCACCAGCAGATACGGTACGGTAATATGAAGCGGCAAAAGGCGACCTTTTTCTACATGACTCTGTGGAACGACTCCTGCGTCCTTTCCTTCCCCCGAAAGAAACGTTGTTGACCAAGAAAGATCCATGCGTGCAACTCCATGGTGATTGCGAGCTCACAATTCTCATCAAGGAACAGTGTAAAACGATCGTCGAGCCCTCTCGTTATCCGCCAACCAATCAAGATTTCCATTATCTTCTTGAATCAAAGGACAAAAAAAGATAGCAGTAACTGATCAAGTACTTGAATATATTCAAGGATCCTCATTTCAACTGTGAATAGGGATGGCAATAGCGTCGACAGTATCATCCTATCCACGCCCAAAACGCAAAAGAAAAAAGACATTTTTAATGAGAAACAGTTCAAATGCTGCATTCAAGATGCACACACTATCCAACCCAAAAGAAACAGTTCTACAGCTCCATCAGGGACTGGTACTGTATCAACAGTACCAGCTCAATAATGATCAACGGCTTCTCTGGACCATCAGATTTAGCATTTATTCTGCTGTTAAAACATGCACATCAAGGAGTCCTCAGCTCAGAAAGGCATTCAAGACATTTCCAACTAAACATGGTACAATCCTCACGGTGTTCATCTTCGACACCTTTTGTCATGCTTGAACGAGTACTACAGCCGAGCTGCAGCACTGACTCGGATGTAAAACTACACTCATGCGACCAGAGAACAGTTTATTTGCATGGAAGAAGAGGCAACATAAGTTCTGTATGTTCTATCTCGATCAAAAGTCCATTGGTTTTTAAGCGAGGCACGTAAGATAGAAGACTGATTATTAATAATATTACTATTATTTTGGGACATGATGTCAAGCCTCACGTAACACTTGGGTCCATTTTGATTAGATTAGGGAGTGCCGAAACGCGTTTACAGATTAAACCATTCGGAAGTGGTATAAGCTTTTTGAGGTGGTCTCATCTACTACGGGAAGAAGAAGAAACTTGCACTTTGACTTGGTGCAATTTAGGAACGAGTTGATCACGCTGAGAATTTGGTCTACCGTCAATTGATTATTTATTAGTAGTCGAGCCTAAAAATTCCACAAAAGTTCTACGTGTCTATCCAAATTCACGTAATAGAAGTTGATGTTATAGGAAGAGAGAGAGAGAGAGAGAGAGAGAGAGATTAGGTACGTAGAATGGGTTGAACTGAGACCGAGCTTAAAACTGTGACCTTTACCCAGTCCTTGAATCCACCCATTGGTGCCTACAAAGTTCTCATCCTAAGCTACCTTAACGTGAATTGCCGGGTCATGTCAAAAACGAGTACAGACAAGAAGGTCAAAACAAAATTCCCGACATCTGTAGGTAGATGACTTTTAGATCTCTCAGCACATCTGTTTGATGAAGAATCTTTCACCATCCATGGAAACCTATGGCAGGATCTGCAGCTGATCGCACATCATGTCCCAATAAAATCAAAAAGCTTGATCTGCAAGTAACTATTACAAATCAGTAGTGTATCACCAAACAATGTGAGTTGTTGGTTAAGTATAATTGGGAAGTCCTATGAGATGTCATATGTTTTCCTGCCAACTTTCAGCAAAGCTCTGATAGACCTCAATGCTACTCATGTCATGGAATCCCAAGAATGTCAACCCTACTGGGTGAAACCTTTTAAGGAGGATCATGGCCTTCCTCCCAAGTCAGAGAAGGCAAGCTTCACCAGCTGAAGAGCCAGCTTTGAGCTTGCGGTAGAAAAAGCCTTGGCTTCCAATCTGGTAAGAAGAAGACAAGCAGAAAGAGAAGTCTTATGCCAGTGATGGGGTGGAGGGGCCGAGCACACCGTCATGTCCGAGCTATCTCCTCCGATCCTGATGCATGCATGTCCTCCGGAGCGAGTACCCCCATTTCTGAGCTCGAAAGGTGGTCGTACCACCTCTGGTACTCGCCATGCACGCTTGTGTCAGCATGCAGCAGCTGGCACCCATGACATTAACATGCATGGAGCCAAAAAACTTTGGGGGCGACCGACGCCGAAACGTCACCTTCCCTTTCTCAGCCATCCATTCTTCCAATCATTCATTCAGCATAGCCTTGCCTGCGGCCATTGATGGCAGCAGCTGAAACAGAAGAGATTCGCACGTTGACGCGTCCTATGGATGGGCACAAGATTTGTTAAAGAGCAAGTGATCGATTCTATATACATAGTTGGAGTGTCGGTTTGGTACTGAAGGAGGATAAATGGCTGCAGTAGTCAGCTGCTCCATATCGTCCCTGTCTATGAACAGCAAGTGTGAAGAGGAAGGGTGATCTACTGGATAATAAAGAAAGCTAAATAGCATAGCAGTGAACTTGGTGTAGATCGGTTTGGATGGATTCTTCCATCTTCATTAGCACTGGAAATCTGATGCATCAGTGTCAAATGATAAGAGAGAGAGAGAGAGAGAGATGGGATGTGCCACATGTACTCTCATCAAGCAAGACCTGGATGATCAGTTAAGATGGACCCAACCAGTACTGATTGCATTAGGATCAAAAGATACACCTAAGATATGGACATCTGACATAGTTAACGCAGTGGTCCATGTCAAGCCTGGATATTTGTAGTTTGTATGTGTTACTTTCTTGGATCTCTTCACAAGGTCACCCTGGGTGAGGGCTGACCAAGGTGGCTAAAGACTACTCCTTGTGGCAGTGGTAGGGATTCTAGATAGGGTTGGAGACAGGGGTGAAGAGTCAACAGCCAGTAGCTGAACTTTGCTTACACTGGTTTAGATCAAAGAACACTTCAACAGACATTAAAATGAGGAGGTCAAAGGACTGAGATCTGGACATTTAGAGCATCCCCAGCTTGGCAACACAAGTGGAACAGCTGTTCCCATATAATTTTCCTCTTCCTTGTATTGAACATGATTATTTTATTCTATCACCTCCACTGAATCCACAAACACACCGGTCAATCTACGACCGGGGAGACTTTAATTAGGTTTGAAGAAAGCTCGCTGCGAGTCAACAGGAAGGAGGAAGCTTGAGTGGCAAGTAGCTTTGGGTGTGACCAATTCATATTGCCTTGTTGAACATATTAGCTCGATGCCCTTTTGGGGACTGAACGACGCGTTGCGTTGACCACGCGGCCTCTTTTATGTGGGTTGGCTTTAATTGGGCTAAATATGGGCTGTATTGAGCCATTTTTAATGACTATGGGCCGGACTTAATACAAATCGGCTCAATACACAAAAGCCTCTTTAATGCTCGGATTGAGGAGGAGAGAGGTCGGAAACGGAGGCAATCGCGACCGTCGCCGTTTCTCCTTTGCCTTGCGAGACAAGCTCCTTTCCTCCTCCTCTTCCCCTCTCTTCTCTCATGGTCTCCTCTCCACCCGTCGGCTCGCTCTGGTCCCGCCGATGAGGCAAGCTCGTCCCTCCCTCCGAGTCGCCGCCGCCGGCCGTCGGATGACCTTGTCGGAAGGGTGGGATATGTCGGGTTCCACACCGGGGGCTTTTCGGATGCTGCGATTCGAGGAGCTCGACAGCACCAACATGGTCCTCCGGCAGCGCATCGTCTTCTTGGGATCCCAGGTTCCCCATCTCTCTCTTTCTTTCCTTCGTTGCTATTTCATTTCAGCTAATTGTAAGATAGTTTTGTCTCGAATAACTCGATCAACAGCATTGGCGGAAGCATCAACTTTAAATGGGTACACAATCTTATCTAAGTTTTCTCAGATTTGTGTTTGCCGTACATCAATTGTATTGACTTATAGGGTGAACTGAATTGTGATTGCCTGGATCTCACTTATATTTCAAATTCATTTTTGTTTCTGTTGGATTGATAAGCATCTAAAAATGACGAGAGTCATTCTGCTGGTTCTAAAAGTTTGTTTCTAAGTTGTCTGCATAGAAGTATGGAATATGGAGTTGCTGCTATTCTTCAGCTCCTCGGAAGAATAGGTGTAGAGCACTGGTTTAATTTTGAAGAAGTTTGTTAACTTTGAATATTACATTTAATATGAAATTATGAGATATTAGAACGATTAAGAGCTGTTGCTTATCAAATTTTTATTCTCTGTTCATTTTCTTGGAACAATCATTAGGTGGATACTGTGACTGCTGATTGATTATCAGCCAGCTCTTGTTTATGGATGCAGAAGACCAAAAGAAGGAGATTAAATTGTTCATAAATTCACCTGGTGGCTCTGTGACAGCTGGTATGTATGTTCAATAGGCATTTAATTTCATTTTTGTTTATTGTTATCTCTATCAAAATAATATATTTATAAATTTAACTCTCTAGCATTGTATTTGCATGACTTTTTCTTGGGCAATTTTTTTGTTCTTGCTTACAAGTGCACATTTTTTTTAATCAGTGGGGTTATTAGATTTTTGGTCACAAAGAAATCTTGGATGACTAAGTGGCCTCTTAGGATTGAGTGTCTTATGTTCTCAATATTCCTTATGGATAATCATTTATTATATTGTTAACTTTTATTGCTGTCCTAATTCTAATTGGAGATATGGCATGATAGGCCCACAGAAAAATGATAAAATATGCATCATTCTCTGTTTCGGTAATTTTTCTATTTTTCTCTGGATCTTGCTAAAACCATTCTACGATCCCCCTTTTTTTTATAAAGAAAAAAATAATTGGCCAACAATTGCAGGAATGGGAATATATGATGCTATGAAACTGTGCAAGGCTGATGTTTCCACTGTTTGCTTGGGTCTTCTGGCATCTATGGGTGCATTTCTGCTTGCTGCTGGAACAAAAGGAAAAAAGATTTTGCATGCCAAATGCTAGAGTCATGATCCATCAACCGCTTGGAACAGCTGGAGGCAAAGTGAGTAATTACTCCTGCTTCTAAATTTTAGAAAGCTTTTTTTTCAAGAACAATTAATGACAAGAGAAAATTTGGCTTCCATGTATGCCTCATAGATCTTCTCAAGATTATCAGTAATGGTTATATGCTATGTACAATTTTGATGCACAATAATGCACAATGCCCCTACTTTCTCATTCTAATGCTTTGCTGATAGCATGTTGATGCTTTATGGTACGTACATGCAGTAAAACATGACCCAAGTTTCTTCCCTTTTTATATTAGAGTGAATCTGTCTAAACATGCAATGGTCAAGTGAATGTTGACATTGTGGGGTAAGTTCAAAGATGTATACATAGAAGTACAAAAGTAGTCTCAATGAGTATGACTTTTAAGAGTGACCTGTATGGACACTGAACTATACCATCTTCACAAATTTGCTTGAAGAATGGATAACAAGAAGTACTATGCTCAACAATTCACTTCAAGATCTTCAACAGCAGGATGAAAATTAGGGTGGATTCTGCAAAAACGTAGATCTTTTGATAAATATGATACTAATGATTGTCAGCATGGGAGTGATGTTCTAAAGATCTTGGAAACTTGGAAGGATGCTATAGTTTATAATTCTCAGGTTACATGCAACAATTCTGAATAATTATTACAAAATCAGCAAGTACAAGTTATCTGCATATATACAGTGTTGATTGTTGGCAACTCATGTTTGCAAAACAAAAAGAGATTTGAAAGTCTGAAGGTGTGCTAATGTGCATTCTAGAACATATGAACCATGATATGCAAAACCACCTGTCCATTAAGGATAGTGCTGACCTATCAATGGAAGGAAAGTTTTCACTGGAATGATTTGATGTATGTATATTTTCTATAAATTTTAATTATAAAGCAAGTCAGTTAGTTTATGTACGTTTTGAACATGTGGATCAGTTTGCTGGAAACCCCATTCCATCTTTAGATTTTAATGGAAAATTTTCAGTTATACTGAGTTAGATATTGGGCAGTTGTTTTTTCTCAATGTATATCCATGTGTTTAATAAATATAAGTTCACTTGGAATGATTTGATGTATATATCACCTTTGACATTTAATCATGAAGCAGTTCAGTGGGTATATATCTTTTTAAATGTGTGGATCATCATATTGAAAATCTCATTCCCATCTATAGATTTTGACTGTTCTCCAATTATATCGATTCAAGTATTGGGTAGTCTTTTTCTTTTCTCTAAGCATATTAATTATGTTGCAAAATACATGTCTGTTTACTTCTTTGTGTATGCTATCATCTATTTCCTTACCACTTAACATATCTGTTTACATATTTTTATGACTGAACTAAAATTACATTCAAAAGACATGCTAGTGAGTCTGATCCCACTTTCAAGCTCAACTCCAAGTGGCAGAAACACAGTCATCCTTTCCATGATCTCAACCGAGAGTCTCCAATGTGTCTCTTTAGGAATTTCAGTAATGCTGGTCATCTCAGGGATTCTCCCCTCCAATCCAATCATAGTAGAATATATGGCACTTGACAGCAGGTGATGTCATTTGATTGCACCAAATTGTAACAGAACTTTCATTCTATTCTCTTTCTCAAACTACCTTCTCCGAGAAGATGATGTATTAAAGATAATACTTGCAAATGCAACATCTCGTCCATTGTAAGCTTGATCCTCACACGGTTACTATTGGAATTTCATGTTCTACTATACCTTTGGAAAAGCCATTCAGTTGAATATATGTTTAATTTCCTTGTATTCATGTCTTTGTCCACCTCATTGTGATCCAAAATCAGAAGAAATTAAAATTCATTATAAAAACCTTTCTCGGTATCCACCTTGATAAGAAACTGAAGCATCCTCATTCGCTTTATTGATACTGATATTCTTTGTAGGATGATCGGTGACCCTTCTCATTTATGGAATTACTGCCTACATTGCTCATTCGTCGATGCTACCCAATGTTAAGAGACCCTTTTGTGACATTTGAAAGTACTTCATCTTTATCGAAGGAATATTGTGTTGTCCTCTAAATATTGCAGTAATGATATAACAGAGCGACAGCATCATTGCAGTTCTGATGTCACTCTTAAAACCTGCATTCTCTTTTCATTTGTTAGATGTCCTTATATATTTCCTGCTCCTTTTACTTGTCTTTGAATATAACATCCCCTTGATATTTATCTCCAACAACTGAATTTAATTTGAAAAGAAATTATATAAGCATATATTAACTGATCATTTCATTCAGTCTCCAGTAGATGATGTAAGCCCATTTATGTACAGCCTTAAGACTGCTGATGAAATCTCCATATATGGGAAACGTATTTCTAAAACATTGATGTAGTGTTGACACTTGGGAGTTTTTATAGGATAGCAAGTAGAAAACGTTCTCTGTTTTTCCCATGTGGCATGTTGATTTGATGATGTCATCATTTATTCCATGTTGATGTTCTAAGCCCAGTAATGTACAACTGGGAGATTGCAGATGGAATTTCCATTTATTAGAGACATATTCCTGGATCATTGACATATTGTTGACACCTGGGAATTTTTATAGGATAGCAAGTTAAGCATAGGAACCTCGTCATAATTGTATCTCTTTAAAATCTTGGAAAATTCTCTGAAATTCCTTTAGAGGTTAATTTTTCACAAGTAGAAAAGATATCCTCAATTTCTTCTAATGCCAGGCGATGGAGATGGGATTGCAGGTAAAAGAGATGATGTACCATAAGATAAAGATGAACAAGATATTGTCAAGAATTACAGGAAAAACTTGAACAACACGGGAACAGCTAGGATAAGAATTATAGCTTTTTACACGGCTTTTATTTGTATGCCTGTTTCAATGCCGAATCATCCTGGTTTCTTGCAGATTGAAGTTGATACTGACCGTGACAACATGAATCCCTGGGAAGCTAAGGAGTACGGACTGGTCGATGCTGTTATAGATGATGGAAAAACAGGTCAAGTTGCGCCAATTGCAGTCTGCACCTCCTCTGAAAACCCACGTATGGGACTTGTGGAAAGTTGAAGGTAGCAGAAAAGCCAGGCAGAATCTACCTTCTGAGCAGAAACTCTCACAAGATGGATATAAAGTTGATAGTCGGAATGACAAGGAGAAAGGCGAAGAACAGCCAAAGGAGGATACAACGACTATGAAACAAGCTAAGATATCTCTGATGACTCATTGGTGTTCCAAGGAAGGATAAATATTACCCAAGTTCTCCACCCGGGGGGGGTATCTAATTGAAGGTGACATCGACACAAAAGGGATACAAGGTGGATGCCAAGCTGCTGGTTACTACATTGTTGTGGCATTACCCTGTTGCTTTTGTAAAGGTCAGTTTTTTTAGACCTTACCTAGAACGAAAAACAAGAAGACTGGTTTTGTTTGTGAGGGATTGATTTTTGCTGATAGTTCCATTCTTTCTCAATGAATTGGGCTGTGTTCTAATCTTTTGCCAGAGGTTATGATTTACCCATTAATCTTGTATGATAAAGGAACAGAAAAAACCTCTGTTAGCTTTGTCTAAATTGCTGCAGCTTAACTCCATCTTTGACAAGTCAACAAATAATTACAATTCAAGGATTAGAGTTGAAAAGAGAACACTGGAAAAAAAAAATGGAAACCTTATAATATAAATAATGAGTAAAACCTATATGTAAATTATGAACGGAAGAATTTATTTTTATTAATGCAAATCTGTTGTTAAGTTTTCTGAAAATTCTATAAATGATAGAAAAAGAACCCTTTCAAATTATGCATATTATGCATTATAATTTTTCAAGTCTCCTTCTATCTTGTAATTATTTTATTTAACAATATAAAATAAAATGCTCAGTTACCTGAATGCGTTTTTAAATTCGATTTTTGTATTATTCATCTCAAATTTGATCAGCGGATATCCAACCCTTCTTAACGGGTCGGATCCTTATATGAAAAATCCGAGTCTCCTGCCACCGTGGTGGGACCCGGTTAATTTCCAACAATCACCGCGCAGCTATGTTTGGCGGGTACCTTGTTTACGGGTATGAGTAGAAAAGAAAAAGTCGCCCTAAATCTCTAATCCACGTTTCTTCGTCGACTGCCTCGGGAGAGAGAAGGGGAATGGTAATGGTCACGGCATCGCCGGCAGCGGCGTCGCGCCCTCCTCTCGCTATTCCGAACTCTGGTTCCACTTTCCCTCTTGGACCCCGTTGGCGCCGGGCTCTGCTCGACGTCCCGGCGGCGAATGGGGCTCGGCCGCAAGGCCGCTGGCGACGCGACACCGCTGTTCGGTGCGAAGGCGGTGCCGCTGCTGCTGGGCAGCGGGTCCTCAGGACGTGCAAGAACTGCAAGCGGCAGTATGACCCCGCCCTCAACCATCCCTTGGCCTGCCGCTTCCACACCGCCCACTTCGGCGGTCAGTATCCTCCTCCCCTCATTCCAATTTCCCTTCTTTCATAGACATTGCTTCTTTATGTGGATCTTTATACGAACTACGAGGAATGGTTGCGCAGACCTCTTGTATGATATCCGCTACCACTAATTCCTTGAAGTACGTGACGATTGACAACTAGAGTTTCAAAAATTGAAGTTGAGAATTTTGATCGTTTGATGGATTCGTGAATCGGGAAAAGGGGAAATTAATGTATCATAGAACAGTCCGATTCTATTGATGAATTGGCGATCAAAATACTGGGACCTCATAAGCAGGTTGTTATGGCCCCTTAGAGACTTCATCAAGAATTAGGATGACAGCTTGAAATGTTCAAGTACCTACTCATCAACAACAGGCAGCTAAGATCAACGTTATTCAGGAAAACTAGACGAAAAGCTTAAATTATGCCATTTAAGAAGCTTTAAGGGTCATTATTTTTTTAGGGGTTGCCAATAGCAAGAAGGGATTGCCAATTGCAAGTTTCTACCCATTAAATATGTCGTTCATTATAGCTACATTTTCTACCCTTGTAGCTATACATAGTGGGAAAGACCAAGATTTGAATTTTATGGCAGAGGATCATGCCAATGATCTGCTGCCACAATTGTGGTGACTGGCATAGATTAGCATAACCAGTCTCTTTGCCGAGCCAGAACAATGTTGGCATGCCCTTGATATGGCATGGGATGCTGTGCTGACATATACCATTGTGTGCACCATCTTCTATTCGTTTCAACACTTTTAAATGAAATTTACTGTGATCAGATCACATTATACATATTGGCTTGTTTGAAAAATCACAGAGTAGGATGCCTGGGTGAGGACACAGTCTCTCAATATGTTTCTCCCACATTTATTCATTTAATTTGTTCCACTCATAGGCCTACTTGTCAGTAAGGTTTTCCCTACTAATTTATACACAACAGTTGTTTCTCGGAATACTCATACTAGCTTGCATAACTTTGTTAGAAATTTAGCAAAATTTTATCACCAATCATCCTATATCGACTAGTAACTTTCCAAACCTTGGTCAGTTCTCATTTAATAGGTACCCTACTATTCAAAATATATTGTTGCAGCCTCTAAATTCATGCCTTTCTTGGTCCAAGTCTAAAATCAAGTGGTGGTGGTGGTCATTTGTAAAGATCTGATCAGTGCATGTTTGCACTGGGTTCAGCCATCATTGTGCCTTCATGATTTTTCTTTGTTAGTTTGTTGTATATTATGAACCTTGTTCAAGAGTTTTGTTTTAATACAATTGAATGTATGTAGCAGCTGGTCAAGGGTATATATGATAACAATTTGGATGTTGAGCAGGAAGGGAAATGGACTCTAAATATTTTTCATACACAACCACGGCTTTCAACTTGTTTGATTTAGCAGACGCTGTCGGATTCTGTAAATTTGTGTGTTACCAGTCCTTGTTCTTCCTCCTTCATGTTCCAGTTAATTATGCATGTTTAATTTACATTTCTGCATAACTGCGATAGAGGTTAGTATACACATGTGGCTGATATTGGGTATGTGCATCGGTTCATCTTCTCCAGTTAGCCTATAGCTTTTTTATGGAAAGCTTTTCCTTGTTTCGATGCACATACACTTGACATTTCTTTCGAGTGTCGATGCTTAGTTTCCATTTCCTATTTCTTGACCAAGCTATTAAGCTCACCTATTCTCAATAACATTTTGTGAAATGCTAGGAGAAACCAAGAGAAAGTTTGAGAGTGTGTACACAGGAGGGACCATGGACACCCCTGACTCTGGCAAAGTGTTCCAGTACTGGCATTGCTGTGGCTCTGAAGATCCATTTGATGCTGGTTGCACAGCTGCTCCTCACTGCTCTTATGATGACTGATATCACATGGTTGGCCTTCGGTACTTATCAGTAATGGACAAAGTCCTTCCTTCTTCCAACAGACGATCGGCTTTGATTCTGTAGCCCAAAGCAAAACGATGAACATCATGTATAGAAGCAGCTGAAGCATCGACCATGGATCTTTCTTTTCTCATACCTTGTGCTGTATAATTTTACAGACAACAATCCTGTTGTTGATACATTCGGCTTCTAATTTTATTATGCAGTTGAATTATATTCACTTGCTGCCAAACTGCAGCTTTGTATTACAACAGTAGGCCCAACCTACAACCAGTGAAATGTGCAACAGTACACCAACCAGTTGATATTTTATGTCATTAAATGTCAAGATATAGATGCCATTATCTTCATTCCATTCATTTCAGATTCTATTAATTCTCGGAGAGGAACAGGAAATGAAAGCAACATTCAGCCAGTTCTGCACCATCCTCTACTTCAAGATAAGAATGAAAGTGGAAGGCACAAGTTCATCAGGATGTTGTCATTTGGATTTTTTTTTTCTCTACCTATCAGAGCCTCACAACAACAGTCCAATGAAGATAAAATTGTTATCCCAATTCACAGTTCAAACCCAAACAGAAGTGTAAAACATTAATGTTACAATATTACACTGTAATTTGAGAGAAGAACACACGACTAGCACCAGTTAAACACCTGATTCGATCACTACCACCCCATACCATGAGAACCTGGTAATAACTTCTGCGTAGAACAGAAAGATTAAATGGCAATGAAGCAGAAGAACCAATAATCAACTAAGATGTCGTCGTGCGGTTTACTTTATGAAGTGATTCATACGTTATTTTACAGATGAGAGCAGCAGAAATACAGGCAGAGAACAGTGCGAAGGTCCTTATTTCTAATCCTGAAATGGATTCATGATAGCAGCCAAAAAGAAGCCAAGTGTGCAACTTTGTTCTTTCACTTCTATCATCATTTAAGATGTAACATCAAATCCAAGAGGAGTAGACCGAAAGAAAAACCAAACATGACCTGAGCCACCAATCAAAAGAAAACACTTCAACGAGGCAAAACCCTAACAAGAGAAACTGATGTAGTTAAAGAGTTGTCATTATAAAAAAAAAACAACTTATTAAAATAAAAAAAAAAGACAAGAGTTTCCTTTATTTTTTGAACATAACAAAGCCATAAAAAAAAAAAGGAAGAATTTCCCATAGCAAGTGAGAGAAAGTGGAAGTCCACAGATAGATGTAGAGCTCCCTTCAATCCAAATAAGGGTCAGGCTGGGCTGATGCAGCTCCTGAGTTATGCAAACCACAAGCCTATCCCAAACCATCCATCAACCGTGTCCTCAAAACATGGAATAGGGCAGTGGAATCCATAAACCAGCAGCTGTGTCCACCCATCCAAGTCCCTTCTTTGGACTTCAAGGAGCTCCACCTCCACCTCCACCTCCAACCCAAACCACTCCACACCCAATCAATACTCGCAAACATAAGCAGAAAGCAGCAGTCCAGCAAAGAACAAGAAACAAAATACTACTTGCAAACCACATCCACCATGGTACAGCCATATAAACCAACAACATATGGCAACAAGCGAACAGAGGTTCGGCATGCAGAAGCCTAAGGACCCATGAATCCATGAGCAACCGATGAGAGAAATGAAGACGAAGAGGTGCCAAGCAAAGCGGCTCTTTTCATCTCCCCTCCTCTCCTTTCTCCTCCTCCTCCAGCAAACTGCTCCTCATTTAATAACAGCAGGCTCAAATCTTGAGAACCCCTTGGGAAGCGGGTTGAATAGATGCGTCTGACCACCTTCACATGTCTTGATGGCACGCTTTCTCGTGTTTCCTCCAACCCATTTACCATGCCTGCCCATAAACAAACAAAGTAGAGATGATAAGACGCAGGTCGTCACAGATGGAGGTTGACTACATGCATTATTGGTGGCCGGTGTTCCTACATCCGGTGATATAGCATCTATCTTGCTTCACAATTTCCTTTCAGTACCTACGTAGCCTCATGCATGTATTTATATACGTAGGCCTCGGGATGTGCGGCCGAAGAATGCCGACCATTTTACTATACGTCCTCTTCTCGAGGGATAACATAACAGCGTTTGAACGAGTGTCATGTACATACATGTCGTTCGACGCTCAAAAGGTGTCTACACACCGTATGTATACGTATAGAAAAAAAGATAATGATGTATAGAGCAGCAGAACATATTGGGACTTGAGCCTCAAGTGGGAAACAGAGCGCGAAGCGAGTCATGAGTGCAAACTACTGCAAAGGAAGAAGAAAAGAGACGAAGGATGGGGACAGCACTTCGACAGAGGAAAAAAAATAAGAGCAAATATATACATAATTTTCATCGACTGCATTTACGGTTTTCTTTTCTTTTGGGGGTCACATTTACTGTTAATATGAACGGTGGGGATGAAGCTACCGTAACGTATCAACGGTGGATCTTCCGTCGCATAGACATATCGTGAGTAGGCCGCGGTCTCCTCCAAGTCGATCCAGAGCGAATCTAGCGTTAGATCCTCGTTGCAGTCGACCGGTTAATATGGGTCCCACGGGATTGAAACCGGTCCGGTTCGGCTTGTTGCTAATTTAGGATTCATTTGAAATCAGAATATAATGGATCCATGAATTTGCAATTAATTTTATGAATATCGCAGCATATCGATTTTCTTCGAGTAGCAAAAAATACTCCAATGAAACCGAACAAATATAACACCAAATGGTTGGATATTAATGATAAAAAAAATAAATCTATCCGCAATAAATTAAGATGTACGTAAAAATAACATATTTTAATTAAAACATTAGAATAAAAATATCTTGGAACACATTATTGGTATATCGTAAGTCTATCAATTTGATTTCGTATGATTCATTTCAATCATCTTAAAAAAATTTTATGATATAACTTGAAACAAACTAAATAGATTAAATCGAGTTCAACCTTCGACCTTAGATGGGCCTCATCTATAATCTCCAAAACTTAGCATCCTCGAGTGTCAATATGATCAAAAGAGTAAAAAAGAAAAAGTCAGTGCAGAAATCTAATATTTCCCAAAATTTTATGTAGAATTGATTTTTTGTTTTCCAATGTTTATTGGAAAGGGAGTTAGATAATGTTGGGTTGGGTGGGGAATGAAAGCTCCCCCTAACTGCTGTCTTTGGTGCCCTTTCACTCACCTGCTTTAAGCTGTGCAATTGATTTTTCCCTGTATTAGGTTGGCTGTGCAACATCAACCACTTATGGACTGAAAGCTATGTGTGAGCTTGCTGAGGCAAATGGAAGACTACTCCTCCTGCCTGTCCCTCTATCCTTCGGTGTGGCTTGGATGGATGATGGCAATGCATTGTTGCATTGATGGGTGGTGAGTTGTCTGCATCACTTGGCAGGAGAATATTTGCATGAATTATTCATGCCAATAATCTCGTGGTCTTGAAACAATCAGCAAACCAAATCAACTGTTGCATATATGAATTGGTTGCATATGTATGTCTTTGAGTGAGTGTAGGTCGTTTTAGAACATTGATTTATGGAGGTCAAATATTGAGGTCATGATGAGCATATGATGAGCATTGAATGCTCTAACTTTAAAACAATAAATTTTATTTTTAAGTTTATTCTTATTATATTTTTAAAAATAATTAATTTTAAGTACGATGAACGTATGTATAATTCATCGTGAATTTAATATATATTATAATTTATATTTATTTTTTAATAAATTATGATTCATTAATTAAGTGATTGAGTGATCCAATATAGAAGAGAGGATCTATACAAGTGAAAGGAAAGAAAATGATGAAGCATTCTTGTTTTTAAACCTTATCAAGTTTTTATATTAAGAACTACTAGTTTTTAGATATCTTTTGAAAAAATAAACTCTCTGGTATTATTTTTTTTTCTCATCATTTTTTTTCATATTATTTCACATTATTTGGTATCAGAGCCTCGCTATGCTTTTAGAGTACTTCATTCTCATAACAACTAAAAGGGGCAGAGAAAACGACATGCGAAACGAATGATACAACTAATAGAGAAACCAAAATACAAAGGAAATAAGTTATAAAGTTTACTGTGCACCTTAAACATTAAGAAACTCATAGTTCTAAAGGCTTAAGCGATGGATTCATTTGCATCCAAAGAAATCATAGGAGACTCATCCATGGATAGGTTTATTTATATACAATATCAAGTTTGACTTACTAGAGTTCCATGATTGACTTTAACTTTGAGTTTTTTGATTGAGTTAGTGTTGTTGACAAATTCTTTGAGTACAAGGAGATTCAAAAAGTAAAATTAATTATTACAAGACTTCCACTTATACTTTAATTTAATGGGATAAGTGCAAGAGATGCACTTTCGGAAAGAGAATATGAAGATTTTATCTTAAATTAATACGAAATTTTGGCTTCATGAGAATTTTCTTCTGATTATATTTAAACTCTCTTTTCATAATTTAATAATCTTCAGTAAGATAGCAAAATCGTCGTCAACTATATTGAAAAATTATACAAGTTAATGATCCAAAACAATACTTGAGAGATAGAAAAATAAGTTATTATAAGTTAATGGCCTACGAGTTATGATTCGAAATGAAGTGGAGATGCAAGGTTATCTAATGTTTATCAATTAGTATTAAAAGTTAAAACAAAACTGGCTAGAAGTGGAGCAAAGAAGTATTCTGATATTCCTTAACATTCCTCTTCTAAAGCTGATTCTATTCAAAATAATACTAGTGGATCAAAAGCTAGTGAAATTATGAAAAATGCATCAAAATTAACTCCTACCAACTATGAAGGACAATCTAGTCACACTCGTCACCTTCCTACTTACTTTAAATATAAATAAACAGGAGACTATATGAACCCGTGCCCAAATAGATAAGTTGAAACATGAGTCAATTTTGCCAAAGAAAAGATGTCAATGAATAACCTGAAGATATTGAAAAATCAATATATGATGAATGCCTCAAGGAGGCTTCTAATGAAATTACACCTGAAGAAGATGAATGCTTAGTAATCCTAGAGCGCTTATTACTACTCCAAGAGATAGATTCTAATGAAGAATAACTATGAAATAATATTTTCAAGACACGTTGCAAATCTCAAGACAAAATTTATTATTTTGTTATTGATAATGGCAATTGTGAGAACATTATGTCTCGAGATATGATAGACAAGCTCAAGCTTAATATAGAATCACATCCTAAACTATATCGGATTGCATAGTTCAAGAAAGACAATGAAATACGAGTTACTAATCGATGCCTAATTTTTCTTCGATGAGAAAATTTTATAAAGATAATATGTGATAGAATGTAGTATCAATAGATGTTAGCCATATACTCTTAGGAAAATCATGACAATATGATAGATATGTTATCTATGATAGTAGAAACAATATACATACTTTTAAATTCAATAGAGTTAGATTTATACTTTTGCATATAAAGAATAGTTTGCTCTCAAATATTGAACTCAAAGAAATGAAAATATTTTTTTTTATTTTAAATAAGTTTACAAGAAAGTGAAGAAAGTGAAATTGTATTTATATTAATTGCTAAAGAATGCATGCAGTCTTTTGAAATTCTTGGTGAAGTAGAACCGATTTGAGAGGGATTCAAACATTTGCTTCAAAGAACTTTTTAGTGGCCTACCTCCTTATCCAAATTAGATTGAATCAGGAGTAATCTTATTAAATAAATCTCATCATCAAATAAGTTCAAAAAAGCATGAAGTGTTAAATAGATAAGTTATGGATCTACTGTACAAGGGTTATATTCAGGAAAGCTTAAGCTTGTACATTGTTCCAACCCTATTGACTCATAAAAAATATAGAACTTGATGGATGTGCGTCGATAGTCGAGCTATCAATTGAATTATCATCAAATATAAATTTCCTATCCTGAATGTGGAGGATATATTTGATATGTTTAGCGGTGCTCAAATTTTTTTTTAAATTGATTTTCAAAGTGATTATCATTAACTCTGTATTAAATCAGGAGATGAATAAAAAACTGCTTTTGAGACTCAAGAAGCCTTATATGAATGGTTAGTTATGCCATTTAGACTTTTAAATACT